TTTTGTTACAGTGACTTTACATTTCTTGCTCTTTATATCCCTCCATCAGTTTTGTCTAAAATGAAAAAAAAACTTGCTCTCTTTAATCTTGGTAATTAGTATATTTAATAATAATAATATTTAAAGTGAATGTCTCCACATAAATCTACAAATATCCAACCCCTTAATGTTCTATGCATTTTTTAAGAAAAGAAAAACGAAAACATTTGTATATGTTCTTAATGGTGTTTTAGTCATATTTTCAAATTATTTTTAGAAAAATTATGAAGTAGTGCTATGCTCTCCCTTATATTAATCAAACCATAAAAGAAACATTTAAAGAAAGTGGAATCTGCAAAATCAATCATTCTGGGTTAGAAAGTGCCAGAATTAAGATTACCCGAGCAGCATTCCTTTCGCAATCATCTACAATACTTCTGGAGCCAGGAACTGAACCCAGCCATCCAAGATTCAGTCTGATGCTTTAGTCTCATTCACAATTCATCATTTGATGATGCACAGCCTTTTGCTGTTTGACCTAAAAGAACAAGTCACCGCCAACTATCTGGTTGCAGCTACAGTGATAAATACAACACACTTTGTGATTTATACATTCATTTACTAACAGCTCAGAAACCAGATTCCTGAATGCTCTTCCTGGCAAAAGAGGGAAATAGTTACAGACAGTTCACCCAAGAGGATGATTTTAGCATCTTTATTCTGCAAGACCACAAGGATGTGGCTAGAATTTGGGTCTAGAGAAGAGTCTGTATTCTTGGGTCCAGTAGAATGAGACCTGGGGCTGGCATTTACTGACAAGAGCAGAACCACAGAATTTTGCAAAATAAGACTAGAAGGAACCAAAGATTGAATGGTTAGCTTGTACTTCCAAACTTACAATCCTAATGGCACTATTCCCAATGTTTTCAGACAAACTAGCTAAACACCAGAAAAATATGTTTTTACATCTTTTGCAAACAATGTATTCTAGTGCATCCTACACCATAATGCTTTTTCTGAAGTCAAAAACTGTCTTGGCTTCTGAACATGATATTGGATGACTTGCTCAGATTTGAAATCCGTGACATTTGCACAATTTATACAATCGCAGTGGAAAAGCTGTGATTCCAACATAATTTCTCTTCCCAGTTCCCAAACAAGACTTACTTTTCCAAGGGAGTCATGGTTTCTGCCTCCTATCATAACTTTCTTGCCTTATCAGGCTAACAAGAATGCACAGCCTAGCTGGAGTCCCAGCAACAAACACCCAAAGACCACTTTTCACTGCAAAGTTAAGCACAGTTAAAACCTGGGGACTGAGATTTGTTTGTGGATTATACACACATAATTCTTTCAACATGAACTGGCTATCCTATCAAGTGGGGACAAGGTTAAAGTATTACTATCTGCTAATGAAATTCCTCTATAAATTTAACGATGATTAGCACCCTCAGGATTTACCGACCGTCCCATGTATCAGACACATTTGTCCCAGGGAAAAAAAAAATATTTCTGAAGCTTTCTAAATGGCTAGATGTGATCTCTGATGTTTTTGTGTCCCCATCTATCCACAGCAATACACAGAACAAAAGAGACAAGGTTCCTCAAATAGTGTTTTTGTTTGCAATCTCTCTTACTCAAATTGTGATAACTTATGGGGAGTACCTAAAGGACAGAAAACTTTAGTGGATGTATACCCTATACCGGGGAGATGCAAATAGTACTTTTAAAATTCCTACAGTTTGGTCTGAATAACTTAATTGGAAAAGAACCGTTGTTCTACTAAATTTCAGGCTTATATTTTATATTACTCAAATATTGGAAACTCCTAAAGAAGTAGTTAGAGGTACCTAACAAAAAATATTTAAAAACTCTTGTATTCTCTGACAATTTTTCTCCAATCTCCTTTTTTGAAGTAGCTCTTCTGGATTTTTTTCTTGCTTTTCACTTTTTAAACCTTGTGGCTATAATTTTTTTTTTTTTTTTTCTGAAATTCTTTAACATTTATGAAGACAAAAGAACCACATTATATACTTCACGATTGATGATTTGCAGCATGTGGACCTAAAAATAGGACAGAAAACATAGAAGAACAGAGAGGACTGCCTTGGAGGTTTTGAGGCACAGAGACCCTAAGAAATCAAATGCACAGGATAAAGCATGCTTGCAAATATCCACTAAACCAGTGTAGAGAGGATAGAATAGGTGGTTTGATCTTCTGTTAAGTAGAATGATCATTTTATGAATGACCCTGAAGTCCATCAGAAAAAGAACTGGCATCATTTCACTAATTTGCATATTTTAATGAATATACTGATTATTTAGCCTACTCACTAGGTTGGCAAGGGAAACGTTGAACAGCCTCAATCATATATACTACTAGCATTTTCATCTATTATGTTACAACTCTGAACGCATTCTTGCCTCTTCCCCATTTTTATATTTCAAATGAAATAATCTTTGCAAGTAAGCTAGTAATATACAACATTTTTTTTGCCTCTGATTAATCTAATAAAAGTGATAATGTTAAAGATTTATTTATTAATACATCAGTAGTAACAATCAGCTAGACTAGTTACATTAATTTATTTCAAAGTTATATAACTCTGCCAGACAGTAACTATTCTTATAAAGCAGTGCCTTTCTAACCCATTGCCAAGGATATTTAATTTGATGTCCAAGTTTTCCTGCTTATGGGAAAGCCATTTTCCATTTTAACTGATAGCAACAAGTATAAGTGAATATGCTGTAAATAACAAGCTACTTTGAACTTTTAGGTCCCATTATGCACACAAGCTATCTACTCCGAAAAGGCATCATATAAACATGCCAAATTATTCAATCCCATGAAAAATGCTTTTCATCTGAATTATAAGTTAAAACTTTCTGACTTTAGAGAAACTGGGACTTGAAAAGATAAAAACTTAAAGCTTGATTTTTCTTTGCCCAGAGCATATGTTATATAAACACAAATCCCCAAAAGGTGCCAAGAATTGTCCCTCTGTTTTTCTAAATGATCATGTGTGCAGTCTAGCTGAAAAGACTCATCGATTATGTCTACATAAACAACAAAAGCCCTTAGAAAAAATATCTAGATCAAAAGCCTGTCAAACACTGAACAGGAAAGAGAAATCCTGCTTTAAACATGGCCTCTTTCAAGTCTGAATTCAATCCCATGAAGTAAAAACAAAGGATTTCATAATGAAAGGTATTTAAAATTGCTTTATTTTTGGAACTTAACCAGGGATTCTTTTTTTTTCTATATATTAACCTTTGTCTTTCTTACACTGGGACAGAATTCTGCAAATTGTAACTTAAAGGTTTAAATAAATGTAGAAATTGTTTAGTCACAATCCACCGTGTCCACAATACACATTTCCAATTATTTTAATTAAAATTAAACAATGATATTTTTACTGGCATTATGGATTTCTCCTTTTGTCAACCACCCAAAAATATCCACTGTTAACATGGGAACACAGCAAAGTTCTTAATGGATGAGATGCATTTCTTTTTCTTTTTCTTTTTTTCTTTTCTTTTTCCTCACTTTCCTAAAACACAGTCACACAATCAAGAAAGGAAATAGCATATCCTTTCAAAAGCAGAACAGATTACTATATAGCTTATATATAATTATGCTCTCGAAGTCATAGTCAGAAATCATAAAGTAAGCTAAAGTATGGAGTCAGACACTTTTAAAAGTATGGTTTCTTAAAGAAGTGAAAGAAATTTGACAGATATATGTCTGATGATATATAATCCTCATGTTTGATTTCCTACTCTGTTATTAAGGTTAATATGCAAACATATGGCATGATTTACAGTAAACCATTAGTGATCTCTTTCAGACCAGCTTGTGATTTGATTGTTCCCTATCTGTAAATAATAATATAAACCTACTCTAAAACACATGCTACATGTTTAATCATTACACTAATGTAACATTTATATGTCATGTACATAAACGGAATCGAGTTTTAAAGCGGTTCATACCTACAATTGCTGTAGACAACATCCTGTTTTCCAGGTTTGGCTAACAGACATTTGTCTCAGAAAATGTCAGTTCATATTTGATTGCTCACAATGGTGGTTTTGATGAATTTATTTACGGTAATTGATAGTCCTATAGCATGGATCAGTATATACTAGAACATAGGTACTCCACTTCTTACAATGTTCAGATAGATGTCATCTTGGATATTCTAACCAAGAAATAAATGCATATCTGACTGGCCTCTCAAACAGAATGCACATTCAATTAATAATGATTTCTATATAGGATAGCTCATCAAGAAAGTTAAAATTACATTAGTGTAAGCATCAGGACATTGTCAGCATGATGCACTGAATTTTAACTTGTATGAAAAAGTGAATTTGTCAATACAGAGTATACTCTGATTTCAGAGTAGTATTTCAAAAGATACTCTGATATAACAGTAGTCAAAAATTAGTTATCCATACCTCCTACAGTCTTGCAAAAGAATGGTCCAGGAAAGCAATGAAAGCATAGACAATTTTTAAAGTGTTTCCCTCCTAGAACCCAGGATGCCAGCTGCTCATCACGCATTATAGATATTTCTAATATAGAAGTATGTTAAATGAATTTGCCTTATATCTGGAAAACCTTTAAGTACTTTTGCTACGCTTACTCCATTGTTTTTAGTGCATACAAAAGAATTATCTCTTTGGAAATAAGATAATGAAACAGATCCAGCTTCAATAATTTTTCAAGGAACAAAGGTTGTAAAATTGTTTTCTACTGGAATGTTGAACTTATCAGAAGATCACGCACTCAAGCCAATAGCATTTGTCTTTGCTGTCACGCAAGAGAGAGTGAGTCACCTACAGTACAACAGAATCTTTTTGCAAATCTTTTAGAACTGTGTGGCATCTGATTGAACTAATCCACATCTTTCTATGATGCCAAAATAAACAGTCCCTTTCCCACAATGTATAAACATTGTTCCCATAACTTTCCTTTGAAATGTCATGAAAAGGTTAAGTGACGTTTCATTATTTACCTTGACTAATGAATTGCTCCATGCTGTCTTTGAAAGGCTGGAGGTGCTCTTCTAGTGATAGCTGATAAACTTTTGCTGCTTCTGTCTCACATGCTGAAATTGAAGTAACAGATTAGTTTAGGATGACACATCATAGTATGGATCTGCACACTGTAATGAAAAACACAAATCAATGCATAGCCAATGAAACTGCTAGGATACGTGCCTCAGGCACACACTGCTTCGAGTACAAACACTATGATAATATATTCAGGGACAGTTATGTTCCTGGTCAAATGTTTTTGACCAAAATATACAGATAACTTGTGGCCAGTGTTTTAGTTTAAATGTGTAGTAGCAAACATTAAGAAAATTATTCAAATCCTTGAAGAAAAAAGACAAATTTAAGGGGATTAAATGTATGGGAGCAAAACTACAAACTCAGATCCCAGGCCATGTTGATATACCTGGCCCCAGGTGACAGTGCCTGAATCAAAACAAAGTTCAGATGCAAAACCTGCACCAGAAGGATCTCAATTTAGTGAGTAAAGCCAGATGAGGGCTTGATACCCGATAAAACCACAGATGTAGTCAATTGTCTTGTATTGTTCAAAAGTAATAGTGCAAATGATTGCAGTAAAAGATTATGGCTAGAACTCTATGAGAGACCTTAGAGAAGCACAGCTTGGTTGTTACTACACTACAGACCAGGACAGACAAGCTGAAGCCTGAAGCAGCCCTGACACAGATTATTCATTGGTGAAGTGGTAACATCATGCTTCTACCAACTATCCAAGCTAATTTAGTTTGAGGCAACAGATGACTTCACACTACTAGTTCAGGAGAATGTTAAGCTCTGGTTTCTATTATAGGAGAAAACTCTTTATGCCATGATAATTTCCTGTCATTCAACAGAAATGAATCCTGCTTGATTCTGACTCAAAGTTTCTAGCAGAAATGCACACATTCAAAAAAATTTATTTTTCTTTACTCTGCAGGTTGTTGGTTTGTTGGTTTGTTTTTTTTTTTCAGTAAAACAGGATTATTACTATGTCTTTAAACACAGAAAACTGGTTATACATTTTTTAAAAGATTTTGAAGCAGCAGAATGTACTAACATGATATAAATTAATAAATATAAATGATGTCTAGAATTGCATCAATCCAAATATCTACAGATGAGAATTGTAGTCTGCTTTTGAAGACTGGATACAACAGGTAGTAGACTTATGTGTATCACCATTATATGCTCTAAAAATGTGTTGCTGTAATATCTGAAAGGGTCTCAGTGGTTGAGGAAAAAAAAAAAACCAACCAGTTGTCTTGTCCTTACTTCATCAAGCATGAATTTATAATCTGGTAAATAATACCAGTCTTTAGTTTACAGCAAGAAACTAATGACATATCTAAAAGAGCATGATAGAGCAATTAAACATAACATAATTAAAGATCCAAAGGTTTATCAATTTTGGCAAATGTTGGTCAGTCAACCCACTACAGATCTGTACCTAGACATTCAAATTAGAGTGCCAGGAAGGTAAATATATATGACAGTGGTCATATCTGTCTTGTATTGTTAGCTGTACAAATTGATTCACATCATCTGGTCTGCTATATCTGGGGAAAATCTTTGGAGAATGCAGCTTTAAATCTCATAGATACTGTTAAATCATTTCTTCTCATAGTTGTGAATATACCAAAGACGATTAGATATACCAATATTTAAAATACATATATGCAGAAAAGCAGAATGACTCAATCTGTAATGCCAAACAAGTGAAGTAAAGCCAGGGTGACAATACCAATTTCAATTTAAATAAAAATAATTTAGAGCAAAATAGAAATAAACACCAGCAGACTTTTAGAGGAAAAAAAAAAAAAACCCAAACAATCAAAACATGAATATATTTAATTAAACAGGTAACCCTCTTTATGAAGCAATATTTAAAAACAACAAAATGAAACCTAAAACCTAGTCACACAGACAAGCCCATAATCTTTAAACAAATGTTGGTCAACACACCTGAAATAGGGGAGGGAATCCAAATGACCATGAGGTTTTTTACAATGTACGGTAAGGCAATAGAATAGATAAGCTATGTACTATTCTGCAAAGGAAGACATTCTGATGGTGACACACAGAATTTCTATTATTCTTTTCTCCTACTCAGAAATAAGTGGCAGAGTTGTAAGATGCTATGGAACCTACCATAACATTTAATATCATTGAAATTCCATACCTTTTTCCAGAATATGGACTAAATATTCTTCACAGAAGTACATTATAATCTCTTGAATTAGTGTCTGCAGCTCACAATGAACTCCTGATCTCTCAGCTGATTTGAGAGAAGCATAGATCTTACGAAGTATATACCCACCAAAAATCTTAGCCTATACCCGTGCCAATAGCCTGAAGCAATCCCTTTTCAAAGTCTATAACGAAATGCAGGGATATACTATCCTTTATGTTCAACTTGCTATGGAAAAGAAAAAACATGTAATATTGTCAGAATGAAATGTCTATTCTTTAACCATTCAGATACTGGAAGTTCTTCCATGTTTGATTTGTCTGTGCATGTATGTGGGGTGAGGGAAGAGAGTACAGTTCATGATTGTTTCTCCAGGTTTTGGTGGAGTTTTTTTTTTTTGTTACCCCCGTCCTCCTGTTAAAAGACTAAAATCAATGATGTTCAGTTCAGCACCATTTTTGACCCTATTCCTGAATCGCAAACCATGTCCAAGTCATTTAAAATCTGAAAGAAAACACAGGAAAAACAATCGCCTTCTCCTTTTTTTTTTTCCCTTTATAGAAAGATACGATATTTAGCATCCAACTCTTAAAAATAGGACAAATTCTGTCATTATTACCATTCTAATATCAGTATTATGATGCATAAAACCCCTAGTTCATAAGACGATTTCTTTATTAAAGAACGAACAGGCTTTTAAGCTATTCCTAAGTTTCCCAGTTCTCCAGAGCACCAGCACTGGAATCATGGTCTTCCTGCACAATGTGTTGGATATAGCACTCCTTTATCATGTTCTGTAATTTGTCATCATAGTATAAAACCCACTATTTGGATGAGATAGTTAGCCTTCACAGTAACTGAAGAAATGAAAGTGCTGATCATATGAAAGGAGTCCAAAACACTAGACTGTTAACAGTATTTCTGCCCAAGCGAAGGAATAAGATACTGAATAAATGTGTCAGAATATTTAAGAACTTCCGAAAAAAAAAAAAAAAAAAAAAAAAAAAAAAAAAAAAAAGTATGTGAGATTACCAATAGTCTATGTTTGATTTTTTCTTCCCTCAGCTGCTGAACATCACAGATATCAAACAAGCAGGCTAGCAAAGGGGGTTTGTTGTAACATGTTTGTAAAAGTTTTGTTTGAAAGAAAAGCTTGTCTCTTTTTTGATAACAGACTGAAAACAGGTTTTGTTATCATTCCTATTCTCACAGGTTCAGTTATTCCCTCATCTTGAGAGAAAATAAAAACTTAGACGAAGCTAGCATATTCCTAAACTCAATTTACTTTAAGCAGATTTTAAAAATTTCTTGTAATGAAAGAATTGAAAGGTATTCAAGGCAAAACAAAGAGAGTCATATAGGCAATCACAAAAGCCAAGGACCAGGTAGCTTATCTTGCAATATGGAATTGCCCAAACAGGAATAAAGAAAGATAAAAAAATTTTTATATTGCTTTGCAGCAAGGTTAAGGTTTCAGTTCCCTGTACTCCCAAATACCCAGTCCTCATGCACTGACATTATACCTTCCAAAGATCTCAAATCCTAGGTAGAAGTTGGCATGGGCAGATACACCTCCTCTCCAACACTCTAAATAAATTTTAACATAGCAGCAGTATCTCAGCAATGGAAAAGACCAATACTGCATCTAATTTCATCTCCTCTCTAACATCATTTGCTGCAGATTTTCCACAGAAGCAATACAAATGGATTCTTGTGGGAGGACCTTATAAATTTAGGCCAATATGAACTGGTAGCTTTTTGCCCATACATACACAGATCTCTCAAATGCTCCTGGATTTGGAAATTCATGTAAAAAAAAAAAATAAAAATAAAAAAAATCTATGTTTAAAACCAGTTTAGACTTAAAAGATTGCAATTCCAGCTGTATCTAGTACCTCAAGAATCTCATCTCATTCTCTACTTCTCTCACAAAACATTTTGTGCATTGTACTAAGACTTTCAGTAAGTGATTCTGGTAAGTGACCTAAAATGCACCAAGGCTCATTATCAAAAATTGTTGCTTTATTTTTTTAAAAAAGGAGAAAAAAATGTTTTAGAGATTCAGAATATCTTTTTAATGCATGCTTTTCATCTAGTTCTGCTGGATACTAAGTTTTAGCCCCTGGAAGCACAAATCTCTTCTAATCCTAAAATATGTCTTGAACAAAACGTGTGAACAGATGATCAGCTCCTCAGGTTTACTGTATTGTCTTTGGTCACGATAATAACAGGCAGAATGATTTTTCTTTCAAACACCCTCAAAACATAAAACCAAAAAGAACACCAAAACCACAACCACCACCAACAAAACAACCTAGTAAGAAAGCAAGGGGAAATGTGAATTATCTCACATGATAATTAACAGGTCCACTAGGATGTTTTGGTTAACTACTTCTGAAATCACATATCTATAGAAGTCCTATAGAATTTAGGTGGATTTTCAAGACTCGAGGTACTTGAGAGCACAAGTTGCACTGAGATTTGATAGACTATTTGTTTTTAAGTCTTTAAGGAAATTTTGAAATTATGTCCTTAATTTTCAGAGGTTCTGAGTACTCAGATTCCCACAGGAGATGTTCCAGTGTCCTACTTGCCTGAAAAGTATGTTAACAGCATAACCATTGTTTTCACAACTTCTCAGTGCTTTCTGGATTCCTTACAACTGCAACCTGTGACTTTAAAAGAAAGCTTAGACTTTACCTAAAGGAAACAACACTGGCTTCATCAAAAGACAAACTGATGAACTCGACCACAAGTACAGAAAAAGCTCTTAATTTTCTTTTATTTATTTTTTTTGGAATTGTAAAGACTTACACTAAGAACTGCTGAGTCTTCAAGGGCTTCCATAGACAGCTCCTTGTTTGG